GGATGGTGTTGCTCCTTTTCAGCCGAAACTCTGCCCTGTGGCCTCACCCCGGGGAGAGCTGGAGCCTAAGCCCTGGACCACAGAGGTGGATGGTGAAGATTCAGCACATGCGCTGCCACAGAGGAAAGTCCAGACCTGCAGGCCGGGTCCTGGGCTCAGTGCTATCGCTGACAACCTGTAGGACCTGAGGCACGTCCCTCCTCTTCTCTGGACCTCAGTTTCCCGTGCATATAGTAAGGAAGTTGAACACAGTGATCCCCATAATCCCCTTTACTTCTGACCTTCAGGAACTGTCTGACCGCCCTGGCCCTGCTGCCCCTACCTCCCAAGCGACAACCCTTTCTATCACAGGGCAGGGAAGCTGGTACCTCTGGCAGATGAAAGGTTCTGGACACCTGAGACATTACATAGCTCTGATCTGAAGCGAGGAGAAGAGAGGGTACTAATGCAGTTAAAGCAAATACACTTTGAGTTTCAACCTCCTGCACTAGGCTGGGCTGGGGCGTCCCAGAAAGCATCTGGGAAAGGCGGATCCTGGGGTCATGGCCTGGGGGGTTCAGGAAGCTCTTTTGCCTGAGGCTTCTGGGCCTGAAGTCTTGGGAGGGGCTTCTACACTGGAAGCAACAGTGTGTGAATTCCACACTTCTCCCACTAGAGGTGGGTCTCTGCATCCATTCCCTTGCCTCTGGAGCCCATCATTCATTCATCTACCATGGGCCAAAGCCTTGCATCCTTTTGAAATCAGAGCCTATGAAGTTCGAAAATCAGCAAAGGGTCACAGCATCCACACACACACACCCACAGGCAGTCCTCCTGACCCTCCTTCCTCAGCATCCCAGGAAAATAGGGCTGTGGGCACTGGGAAAACAGGACCTCAGAGCTCCCCAAGAAACTGAGTGATTAACAGGCCGCTCTGATTGTCAGAAGGTCCCTCCTCCTTGTTATAGGGCACTGTTTTCCATTAGAGGTCATCGATCCTGACCACTTTCTGTAATGTGTAGAAAAAGGGTAAGAAAAAACCCTTTCACTGTGAAGTTAAATATGCATGATCCCTGAGTACACAACAGAGCTTGTGCAGCTGCCAATCTGGGCTGGTGTGGCTTGGAATCCTGGAATTGTTTTAGGGCTGGAAGGAGCTCAGAGATCATCTTGTTCAAACTCCTTGTTTTACTGATGGGAAAACTGAGACCCAGAGAGGGACTGACTCACCCACAGTCGCACAGGATGGATTCCTGGGTCTGATGACCACCTCTGGAGCTCTGAGTGGCACCACAGCTGAGATCCAGAACCCACCCAGCCTCTCAATCGTGGACTCTGGAGTCAAAAACACCCGGTTTAAATCCTGGCTCCATCACATCCTGGCTGTGGGACTTTGGGCAACTGACTTAACCTCTTAACCTCTCTGGGCATTTCTTCATAATGTAAAATGGAGAGTTTATATCCACTCCTCGAGGTGGTTTGCGATGATTAAATTAGTTCAGCAAATATTTATTAAGCACTCACTGAATGCCAGGCCTGTTCCAAGTGCTAAGGAATACAGCAGTGGACTTGTTGGTAACGGATGTAAAGCACAATGAAAGTGCTCAGAGAGGGCTGGTCCCAGTTCTGTCATCCTGCACACATGGCTTCCCAGTTGAGGCGTTACAGCGTCTCTCTGATGCTGGGGAGACATGGTGGAGGGTTGCGGGAGCTGTGGAAAACAGGGCAGGAAGATCTCCCCCTTCCAAGGATCCACTGCCTACAGGGTTCTGAGCCACGTGCAAGAAATGGGGTGAGGGGGTACATTTCAGGAACGTCTGGGGCCTCTCTCATTCCTTCCTCCCTCCTCACCACTCAGAAGCCTGTCCTGAGCAAAGCACCCAGAGTCCCCTCCTTCAACCTAGAAGGCAGCTGATCTCAGAGCCAGACTGTGCCTGGAGGATAGAGTTGAGCCTTTAGCACACCCGTGGTGCCCAGGTCCCTTCCCTTCTGTGGGCATAGCACTTCATGAGGTGCAGACCAATTTCACAGCCAGGTCGTCCCGTGCAGGAGGCGGGGAGAGCAGCTGCTCTCTCTTAGCCTTTGGCATTAAGTCCAGCCCCAGGAGATGCAGGAACTGTGCTAAGCACCTTATCTGTATTATTACTTTGTGGACCCTGCATCCCACCCTACTGCTCACAGAGGAGGGGCCTGATGCCCAGAGAGGCAGAGCGTTAGCCCAGGGTCACACAGTCAGCCAGAGCCAAGGGGGGCTCATCAGATGCCCAAACCTGGTGTTGTTTACCCACCGTGCCCACTGCCTTCCAGATGCGGACGCAGCAAGAAAGAGGACGTGGGGGCCTGAGGTTGGCCACACAGTGGATCTGAGTCGGGCCAGGACCAGCGCTGGGTCTCCTGACTCTGAACCCACGGTGCTTTCCGCTGCCCCACATCTGTGGGCAATTAGAAGTCTCAGCTCTTCTTCCCACAGAGGAGGGAGGGCTGCCCGATCGCCACTGAAGGGAGGGGACTCACCAGATGGTCTCCTTCCTCACTCAGGACCAAGCCAGGGCCCGGGTGGACCTGGGAGCAAGGGGGTTAAGTCTTTGGTTTCAGGTAGACCTCGGCCTAAATACCAACTCTTAACTGTGTGACCCTGGGAAAGTCACTTAGCTTCTCTGAGCCTTGTTTTCCTTGTCTTCAAAACAAGGGTAAGACAATAGCCAGGACATGGACGCAACCTAAATGTCCATCGACAGATGACTGGGTAAAGAAGATATGGCTCATACATACAATGGAATATTACTCAGCCATAAAAAGAAACGAAGCTGAGTTATGTGTAGTGAGGTGGATGGACTTAGAGTCTGTCATACAGAGTGAAGTAAGTCAGAAAAAAAAAACAAATGCCGTATGCTAACACATATATATATGGAATCAAAAAAAAAAAAAAGGTTCTGAAGAACCTAAGGGCAGAACAGGAATAAAGACGCAGATGTAGAGAATGGACTTGAGGACACTGGAAGGGGGAAGGGTGAGCTGGGACAAAGTGAGAGAGTGGCATGGACATACATACACTACCAAATGCAAAATAGATAGCTAGTGGGAAGCAGCTGCATAGCACTGGGAGATCAGCTCGGTGCTTTGTGACCACCTAGAGGGGTGGGATAGGGAGCGGGGGAGGGAGACGCAAGAGGGAGGGGATATGGGGATATATGTATACGTATAGCTGATTCACTTTGTCATACAGCAGAAACTAACACACCATTGTAAAGCAATTATACTCCAATAAAGATGTTAAAAAAACAAAACAAAACAAAACAAAACAGGGGTAAGAATAATACCGATTCCAGAAACCTGTTGTGGGGATTATAAGGCGTACGAGATTCCAGGCTCTGTGCCCAGCACAGGGTAAGCACTCCATGATGGTGACCGACATGGTCTGCATGTCCCCAAGTGCTGTGGATTCAGGGCCCTGATGCTTGGAGGCAGGGGAGGACTGCCTGATTTCAGAAGATCTCGTAAGAGGCCTCTGTGCACTTTGGGATCACAGAGGCAGGGACACTCCCCCCCTTGACATATAGGAAAATGTCTGGGGGACACACATAGGTTCTGGAAAGGCACCTGAAGGAAGACAAGAGGCCTGGGTTCTGGGCTCACCCTTGGGAACACAAGGTCTTCAGTCAGTCCCTCCTCCCCTTCACAACTACATTTTCTCAGCCCCACTGGCCTCCTGGGAACACTGGGGCCAGAACACAAGATGGGGAAGCCTGGGGCCCAAACAATCTCTGATGTGTAAACGGAACACGAACAGAAAGAGAGGGTCAAGCAACAAGGCTCCAGGATGACGGGCATAGTAAGCTCTTGGAAGACCAGAAGAACCTGGGAAGGCTGCCTGGAGGAGGTAGAATAGGGAGGGCCCTTGAAGGAAAAGGGAAAGTGGTAAGGAAGGGCATGCCCACTGGCAGGATCATGAAGATTCCTTCTGGGAATCCTGGGATCTGACCGGCAGGAACACAAAGCCCAAGTCTGGCGTGATGGGGCAGGCAGTCTACTATCTCCGTGAGCTCTGCCACCTACTAGCTGTGTGGTACAGTTTTGTGGCTGCTGTGAGCCTCAGTTTCCTCACTCATAAATAGGGTATAAAATCAGTCCCTGCCTCTGGATTTGCTGGTGAGTGTTACATGAGATCATGCTTATAAAACACTCCACAGGGTCCTGGCCTGCAGTAAGTGTCAATCAGTGGCAGCCGCTATTAAGAGTTTGGGCTTTCTATAGGCACCTTCTACTAGGGAGACTCACAGAAGGGATCAGATTCATATTTAAGAAGGAGGGAGACAGTGAGGAGGCCTGAACAGCTGCCTGGGACCAGAGGAAAGGGCCCAGCAGCCAACCCTCCTCCTTCACAGAGGGGCCCCCAGATCTGACTGCCAGATCCCAAACCCCCCGCCCAGGCTGCACGACTGTGACTGTCAGGACGGGCCTGCCATGGCCCCCTCGCCTTCACACTTTCCCAGCCGCTGGGGGTTTGGAAGGACATCTTAGGAATCTGGAAAATTTGCAAATCCATTTAAATCCTGAGAGGTTGCCTGGCGGCCGACTGGCCTAGAGCCAGACAGATTCTTAGGGACAAGGCTTGGGCCCAGGGACAGATGCAGTGGATCTGAGGTCCCCGTTCCCTGCTAGGTCATCTTGCCATGTACCCTGCTGGCCATCTCTCAATTCCCCTCTCACACCCCTCCCAGCTCTCCCCGCCACCCCCCACACAGGCGGTGCTTTGCTTTGGAGCCCCCGCCCCCACCCCCGCTCGGCACCCAGAAACCTCAGAGATTTGTTTGATGAGGGCAGGGGGCACCGACCCCAGAAGCAGCCTGAGCAGGAGAGAGCTGGCTCCTCCAGCCCTGATGTCGCCAACAGCCTCCTGGCCTCCTCCCATCTGGTTTGGTTAAAAATATTTTCCATTTTTTGACCTACCCAAGAAGGCGCAGTCTGGGACAAGGGGACAGGACAAGGGGCTGGGGTTCCCTCCTCTTCCCAGCACTTACCTTGCTGCTGATGCCTTCTGAAGTGTGGGCAAGGTCCCAGGCTCTGGGCTGTCACCTCCTCCAGGAAGACCTCCTCACTGCCTACCCTCTCCTGTTATCAGAAAGACTTTGCTGGACCCGAAATTGGGCAGCGGCAGGGTAGGAGGGCAGTGAGGACCTTTGCAGCCTCCCAGAGCCTCAGGAGAATGGAGGGAGTGAGGGGCTATGGGGGTGAGGAGTGGTCTCACTCCCAAAGCATCCCTCTGGAGGAGCAGGGCTGCCAGGAGGGGCCGCCCTGGATCTGTCTGTCTGTATCGTTCGGCACAGGCTGCTGCCGGGTGCCGCTGGTCAGAGGGGCCCGGGCGCTCTCCTAGTCCCTCCTTCTCTCCGGCTCCAGACTGGGCGGGCAGGGACTGCGGGCTGCTGGCAGCCCCAGGAGCTCACACCACCGTGGGCTTCCCTGCCCCCCCCCCCACTTTGGGGGAAAGGCTGCAGGGCGGCCTCTGATTGGCTCAGCTGGGAGAAGGGGGCTGGGGGCGGGGAGGGTGGACGCGTGCGTCTGTTTTCAATTTTAGTTCCCCCTCCCTCTTTCTTTTCCCCCAAGTTTCTTGTTTTTCTTCCTCTTTTCCCTCTGCTTGCTCCCTCCCGTAGCCTGCTCACTCAGGATGTGAGGAGATGTTTAGAAATTCCGCAGCCCCCGCCAGCCAGCCGCTGAGTCACTTTCATTAAAGAGTGGCCTGGCCCCACTCACCTGATGCCTGTCTCGGGTGGCAGACTCCCCTTGCCGTGGCACCTGGGGCTGGGTCCCTTCTCTGTGCCTTAGCTTTCCCATCTGTAAAAGGAGCTCTGATAACCTATCCGGTTGATTCCATCGACATTCATTCCTTAAACAAGCTTGTTGAGCACCTACTACGTGCCAGACACTGTGCTGGGTGTTGGGATGCAGTAGTAAGTTATAGTCCCTGACCTCAGGGTACCTAGGCTAGTGGGAGAGACAGTGCCCAGGGAGGGCAGGGGGCCTGAGAGTGCATTCAGAGGGGCACTCGCAGAGGCTTAAGGGAATCAGAAAGGGCTTCTGAGAAAAGGTGACTTGGAAGAGAGAGAAAGCCCTTCTGAGGTTATCAGTCACTTCTCATAAGAAGAAATCAAGGTCCAGGGGCGAATTAGCACAGAGAGAGAAAGAGACATGCCCAAAGTCATCCAGAAAAAATTTCAGATTTCCAGACATCTTCCTCCATCATCTCAAAACCCCTGGACTACCAGGAAAGAATTACTTCCTCACTGTATAGACAGGGAACTGAAGCCCAGAGGAGTGAGATGAGCTTCGCAAGCTCACACAGCTATGGCAGAGCTAGAGCAGAACCAGGCCTCGTGAGTCACATGGTGGAACAGATACAGGTGATCTGACCCCAGCGGAAGACCCACACTGCAGTGTCAACCGGCCCTCCTGTCCCACCTTCTTCTTGGGTTATCCCTTCCCCATCTCTCATTCATTTTCGGGTGCCCATTGTGTTCCGTTTCCATCCTCTGCACTAAGGTCTGCCGAGGTTCCTCTGGGAGCCCCTGGGCTTCTCACCCCCTCACTTTTTCAACCGTCATTTCCTCGGATCAGAACGTGTCTCTAATCACAGACTCCTGACCAAGGGCATCATTTTAAAAGGACATAGAGTTGGGTTGTGTCCCCCTGCCGCCATTACTGTACACATGGGGAATCAGAGTCCCAGAGAGGGGAAGAAAAGTGTCCCAGGTCACACAGGTACAGCCTGACTCTGCCCAGAGCTCCTTCCATCCTGCCCTCTGTCTACACCCTTTTCCTCCTGGGCTTCACCCCAGGTTCCTGTTCATGCGGGGTGGGGGGGAGGTTGGGATTTCATGACAACCACGGTAACCTATCTTGCACTCATTTCTTGGTCTTGTCCCAGTGGGGACTGCCCAGCAGAGCATCTGGTTGGACCACACAGAGGGAGAAGGGTTCTCAGACGAGCTCCAGGCAATGTGGTGGGGGCCCTGAGAGCCTCCCAAGAGAGGGGGGCTGGTCCAGCTTGGTGGCAATGGAGGCACAGGGGAATACGGGGGACTCCAAAGACCACAGGGTCAGGCCTTCCTGCCCAAAGATTCCATCAGTCTTTACAACTTCCCTCCAGGCATTCGCCTTGGCCATTCACCTCTAAAGCTTTGGCCCAACTTCTCGGACCAGGTCAGTGGGGGAGAACAAGGAGGCATTTCAACTCCCAGTACCCAAAATAGATAGTCTGGGAGTCAGGAGACCCAGCTGTGCACTTCTTGTGTGGCCTTGGGTAGTTACCATGTCCCATCTGAGCCTCAGTTTCCCCATCTGTTCATAACACGGGTGGACTCACTGTGCTGGAGGGCCCTTGGGATGCTTTGTCTACAAGTGTCTTAGAGTTGGACTCTAGCTAGGGAAAGGAGGCTGGTGGACCCCAGGGCAAGGGGACAGCTGGGGGCCAGAGATGCAGCACAGAGGGGAGGGGGCGGCCGCTGGTGGCTCCCCTGGGAAGCTGGCGGCTGCCGGTTTCCGGCCAGCCCAGGCATCCGGCTGGCCCATCTGGAATCACTTAGCCCCTACCACCATTAACCCTTGGCAGGCACCAGGACTGCTATGCCTCCTCATAGCTGAGATGGGGTTGGGGGATGCAGAACCACATGGAACACCACAGGGCACTCACTGAGGGCTGGACAGTTGAGGAAGAAGGGTCATGATTGACAGGGCAGGCTCTGGAGCCGGAGACAGAGCTGGTTTCAAATCCCGGCTTCTGCAGTTCCAAGCTACATGATCTTGGGCAAGGCACTTAAACTTCTCAGCCTCAGTGTCCTCCTCTGAAAAATGAAGATAATTCAAGGAATGACTCGAAAGACTGTTGTGATTTGTAATGCACACCTCAAGGGCTAAGTACAGTGCCTGAAGTGTTCTTGAAATAGTGTGTCTCCCTCCTTCCAGCTGCAGCCCACCACTGTGTACCCCTAGGCTGAGCTCTCCGCTTTCTGGGCTTCAGTTTCCCCTGTGTACTCTGAAGGAGTGTGCAGTGGGCAGTGCAGTGTCGTCACGCCGGGGCGGTCAGCGTGGCCCCCAACCCCACTGGGGACAGGATAAGCCACGAGCAGTCTCCCACCTGCCCAGATGCTGGGAGCCTGGTCCAGCCTCCGACAATCCTGTCTTGGGAGAGGCTAGGCTGAGAGTGGGTGGGCGGAGCATGGAGCGTGGGGAGCACTGCCTGAGGTGAAGTGGCATGGGGTACAGAGGGAGAGAGGAGCCGCAGGCCTTGGGGTTCAGCACGTCCCCTCCCCACTGCACAGTGTCACGCTCGGGGATTAAGAACCTGGGCTCTGATATGGGTAGCTCCAATCCAACTCTGCCACTTCCTAGCTGTGTGACCCTAGACGAATTACATGATCTGAGCTCAAAGAGCCTCAGTGTTTTGAGCTGTAAAATGGGGTTGTTGAGAGGCCTGAATAACACCTGCACCGAAGGTGTTTTGTTCCAGGACTAGGGCAGAGTGAGAAAGCTCCACAGAAGGTGCCTGATTCTCAGGTGTCGCTGGGAGCTGCTGTCACAGAAGTCCACCATCTGGGCTGGAGGGAAGCTGGTCCAACCGCTGCTTGTATAGTCAGGATGCCTGAGGCCCAGTGATGGAAAGTGACTGTGATATGAGACCAGGACGGACACCCAGGTTCTGGTCTAGACTCTCAGGCCCATGTTCTTCTCTGAAGGAGGGAACTGGGCTGAACTGAACCCCCTCCTCAGCCCCCCAACCCACGCTGCTTAGAGCTGGAAGCCAGAGCTCTCCGTGGGGTTGGGGAGGGGGCCCGGAAAGGGCGCCTGAGTGGGAGAATTCCCAGTAGGCCAGCTCAGTGCTCACTCAGGCAGCACCAGCAGCCACCACATCTGGCTCTCCCACGCTCCCGGCGCCGCCCCCCGTCCCAAGCTCCCCCAGCCTGGGGTGAGGATGCAGCACACATGTTCCAGGCATTGGCACAGTCATCTTGGATGTCAGGGCCTGAGGAGTCCTAAGAGCGGCAGGCATGGAAACTGAGGCCCAGAGAGCAGAGAGGACTCGCCTGAGGTTAGCAGAGACAGAAGGGGCCTGGAATGCAGGACTCCTGACCCCCAGCACCGTGTCTTTCCTCCCTGCACACCCTGAGCTGGTAGGTCCCTGTACCTACAGGTGGGGGAGTGAAAAGAGGCACACAGTGGAAACTGCCCCTTCCCCTCCTGGACACTCAGCATAGTGGCTGGCTGGTGGGGCAGAGGGACCGGTGGCGGCTTCAGGCCACATTCCCAACCTAGATTCCTAGAACTGCTTATGCTGGCCCAGGCTGTCACCACCAAGGCCTAACAAGAGCTTCAGGACCCTGCCCGCCTCAGCCTCTCCCCAGCCTCCAGCTGGCCTTGGTCTCAGTGCCCCAGGGAGCAAGAGTGTGTCCTTCTGGTGCACAGATGGCTCAAGGATCATCAGAACAGCAGGGCCCTCAGAGGCCACATATCTCCCCCTCACTGGATAAACTGGGTCTCAGAGAAGGCCAGAACCCTCTTGAGGGCACACAGCGGGTCTGGAATGGGGCCTCTGACTCCCAGGCCCTTCTGTTTCTCCCACCGTTTATCCATGCAATTCAAGTTAACTGAACACCTGCCATGTGCCCTGCCCTCATAGAGCTCATAAGCAAACACCAAGGAAACCACAAATTAATAATATAAAAATTGTGACAAATGTGATAAAAGAGTCAGAATAACAGGCTGGGTAGGTGGGGTTCTTGTTTAGGTAGATTAAGGCTTCTCTGGGGAAGACATATTTCAACTGAGACCTGAGGCTAAGAGGCCACCTACAATGCAGGGGCAGGAACAGTGTTCTGGACAGAAGGAACAGCATGTGCAAAAGCTTGGAGGCCAGAAAGAGCCTGGTGTGTTTGAACAGGAAGGAAAGAATGGTTGAGGCACAGAGAGGAGACATGGTGGGGAATAGGCTGGAGAGGCAGTAAGGGGCCTTGTGGGCCCGACAGGAGTCTGGCTTTTGTCCTGAGGGTCAGGAGGGGCCAGTGTAGGATTTTAAACAGGGCACCAATGAGCTCACGGTGGTACGCTGCGGAGGACTGGCTAACAGGGGCAAGAGGCAGGGCAAGAGGCGACGCAAGGCAGGGGGCTAGTAGGGAGCCTACAGTAGTCGACTGTGGGCTGACTGCCCCCACCCTGACTCTATCCATCCCAGAGGCTGCGGGAATGCATTCAACTGGGAGTTGGGATGTCTGGGCCCCAGTCCATGCTTGACCACTGACTCACAGTGTGACCTTCCTGTCCTGGCCTCTGTATCTCCTCTGGACAATGGGTCAGACACAGTACTCCTTCAGATGTGCACATTCTGCCCGTGGGTCTCTGGCTCTAGCGTCCTTTCCGCT